CTGGATGTGAGGTTCCTCAGAACGGACGTGTGGAGATGTTCCAACAAGACATATTCTGGCTTCAGTTGCGGACGTTTTCAAAGTTATCACATGAAGTGACAAACTTCACTTGAACTGAAACCGTAGTAGGGGACTCCCAGTGGAACTATCCCCTCAATTTCTGCAATACGTGGCAATCAAGTGGAGATCCATGATGCTCCCAACACCGGTACACCTGTGACTCACACCACCATCCCCTCATTTGACATCATTTTACCGGATAAAACCACCATGTTTCATCATGACGTATTTCCCATAAAACCATCCGTTGGTCGCTTTAAACCTCACCAAACCCAACCTTACAGTAGCCATCTGTCGGGGGGGTTCCCCACGCCATCGTCACCATGATGTCTGGTGGCCCCCTGGCACGCCGGCCTGGCAGCGGTTCTGCGCTGGAACGAGGTGACAGGGTGGAACGTCAGTCTGAAATATGTTTCTTTCTAGTTGTTTTAAACATATTTTAACATTGTTTTACCTGTTTTTTTTTATTTTCTAACGGTTCTTTTATGTTCTTTTCATAGCTTTTGATGTTTTTCCCTAGTTGTGTTTGCTGGTCATTTCAAATAGGGTTTTTGCAATCGTATTTGGGATATTTTGGATTATTTTGGCATGATTGTGGGGATGGGTTGAAGCCACCAGTCAGTGTATCTGTTTTGGATAGCTTTCGATGTTTGGGTATGCCATAGTTTGCCCAATTATGAGCCAAACCCGCACCCATATCATTCATCCTTTGATTGTCAGCCGACGTCCTTTATTGTTCGCAAACATCCGTTATATGTTTGGTGGTGAAACATTAGGCTTTTACGATCAAGTATCCATAAGTAAAGGATGTAGAATGTAGTAAGGTATTCTGCAAGAATCATAATAATCCTCTATGGATTGCAGTAATTAATTAATCCTCCAATTTTCGATATTTTGATGGATCTTGTTGCTAAGAATCCTCCGTTTTTACCCGTTTTTGGTGGTTAAATTGCCATAGGTCGGATAGGTCGGATACCTCCAACCTCAATGGCCTCAGGTGGTCAGGCACAGCTGGCGCCACTCAGCTGCTGATTGTGGGATATTATCAATGGTCCCATTGATACATTGATGAACCGCATTTTATAGAAGTACCATTTTTTTATAGAAGTGTATATAGAATATTGTCCATTTTACAGAATATTGTCCATTTTATAGAATTGTATATTGTACTCATTGATAGCACTGTCTATATTATTGTCCATTTTGTGAAAGTACACAAGGACCACTATGGCACTATGGATGCATGATGGATATTGAGGAAAGACATCCATATCAGCCGACCCATGTCAGCTGATTTTGATTTACTTTATTTCCAAGGCAGATGCAAATCTTCAGCGGTGGCGTTGCGCGATCAGAAAGGGCTTTGGTGGTCCCTCGATCTATAGAATCACCCGCGCTGGGCCGGAGAAGTAGACTGTATCGCTGTATCATGGATTGGGCTAACATGGAAGGCTCCAAAATTCAAAGAGTACTTAGATTGCATGACTGTGACATGCTAGTCAACGTGAGAGCTTCCTTACTTCATGGGCCCTGAGCAGTTCTCCTTGCAATTTAGCTGGTAGATTCACGGTTTGAAGTTGGAAATTCCAAATCAGCGACAGCACTCTCGAGGCTGGCACCGATGGCAGCGTCGAGCAGGCCTCATGGGACATTGTCCATCACACATGCAAAATTGATCAGAATTCCATGCAACTTAGTGCCATTTAGTGCCCATGGCTTTGAAACTGCGCCTTGGATTTGGTCGGTGAAACGCAGAGGAGAGCATTGTCCCAAATATCCTCTGTGGCACACACACAATCACACACCTGCCGAGCAGGTTCAAAGTAACATTGCGAAGGCACTGGGTGTACCAGCAATGGAGCCTTTGGGTAGTTGCTCAGTGAGTTTTCATTCCCATTCCGCTTCTGGTCTCCATCAGCCCTGAATAAAATACTATGTGAATCAGAGACAATTTCACGATGCCTGTCCTCCCAGCCATAGAATCGCCGTTCTCGCATGTATATGAATGTGTATATATATATAGATAGATAGAGATATGATCATATTATCCCGAAAAACATATAATTAGAAAACAATGTCACAATGTTTGATCACCATGTAATCATACACATTCATACACATTCATATTCATTACCAATATCACATTATCCGAAGTGCCATTATGATCATCATCAAAATCACCATACACATTCATGTAATCATTATAGTCACATACACAATAATAGTACATAATCATAGTATGAATAGTACACAATCATAGATATGGTAATCACTATACCCTGTATTCATACACACTATCACCTTATAGTCACAGAGTATTCATACCACAATCTCTGCCAGGCGGTTCAAGCCTTTGGCCCCACACCTGGTGGGAAGTGTTTCCGACAGATTTTTTGAGCACCGCTGGGGCCGGTGGGTCAACGGGTCAACGGAAAACATTGGTGAATTTACCATCAAAATCCATCAGAAGTTTGGGATACACTTTGTGAACCTGATCAATAAAAATCGAAGTGCCATTGATTTTGTTTGAAATGGTATAGTTTATAATATCATTGGTTTGACTAAAGCTTCTAACCTGCTGAAACGAATGCATCGATGGGATGGGATGGTGTACTCAGCAGCTTTGTTCTATTTCTTTGCAGCCAATGAAACTTTGTTTCCAGAGTACAAGTTAGATCCTACCCCATCCATCCTGATGTCACAATCTCAGCTGCATCTTACCCTTGGTTCAGTTGAGCCAGGAAAATGATGCAAGCAGAGAAATTGGCTGCGGAAGAAGCCATCCGCACTGGGCTCTATGGGGTAGGGACCTCGGACAGATCTGCAGTGGGTGGATTGCTTTTGTTGGTGAAATATTTGGGATTATTATGGATTCTGGTTGGTGGTTTGGAACATTTTTTTTCCCAACAGTTGGAATGATGATCCAATCTTTCATATTTTTCATAAAGGGTTGAAACCACCAACCAGGATTGTTTGGGATTTTTTAGGAAAACTTAGGGTTTGTACCTCTGTCAACTATTGTTTTTTTTTGCTCTCAACCTCCCCCGATCCAGGTTTGAGGGTCCATGGCAGTTGTTGGGGATATTTTCTGGGCTGGTCCTATTGCATTTCGAAATGTGATCTGGAGCAGGAGGACAGAAATTGTGGCCCAGTCAATGTCACGCATGAAGAGCATAGCAACAAATAGTGTATTCCGGAGGCACGCAGCAATCAACACGTCGGTGTGAGGGTACAATTTTGAGCCTCATGCATTTGTTTATAAGCCTTTCCTGGCACCGCCGTGCTTCCAACATGCAGGATGCAGAGGCAAACGTTTGGGAATTATAATAGTGACGAGTTAGAATCACAATGCTGGGGTTGCCTTTGAATCAGGGATCTATGATGATCTATGATAATCTATGTCTACGTCAGCACCAGTACCGCCTAGCAGCGGACATTCTCTGCCACAGACCCTTGCGTGGATCAATGTTCAAAATTGCTTTCCACATTCATGGCGCATTGCTTTTTGCAGGCCCAGTGGCGCCATGCACACATACTGTAAAATTATGATGAAAACCACCCTGATGAGCAGTAGGCTCGAAAGGATCCAACGATAAATCCCAGGGAGCAATGACAATACCGTATACTCGCTGGATTGCACTAACTACAACTGGTTCAGTGATTCTTAATAGAATGGGCTAACGCCCGGGTGCCGCCGACCCTCCTTTGAAGCACCAACAAGGCAGTGTGGCTAGGGATTGAAGGCTAGCAAACGGTGGTCTTGAAGCCTCAACAAGACAGTTTGTAGAGCCGCTGCGGAGGGTTTAACGTTATGAAAAACCGAGCCAGCTACACATTGGAAATTGTTAAAATATTTTTTTCATTTTTTTATCGTTTTGGTTATCATTTTATTTATCATTTTTTTATCATGTTTTTTATCATTTTATTTTTCATTTTTTTCATTTTTTTTCATTTTTTTTCATTTTTTTCATTTTTTTTCATTTTTTCATTTTTTTATCATTTTTCATCATTTTTGCTTCCAATGGTGCAAAAATTTTCCGAAAAATAAAAAAAATGCAATTTTCCTCGAGTTTTTTTCATTTTTTATCATTTTTTTATCATTTTTGCTTCCAGTGGTGGAATTGATGAAAAATGATGAAAAATGATGAAAAATGACAAAAAAATGAAAAAAAAATGAAAAAAAAACTCGAGGAAAATTGCAATTTTCCAAAAAATGAAAAATTGCAATTTTCCTCGTTTTTTCATGTTTTTTTCATTTTTTTCATTTTTTTTCATTTTTTTCATTTTTTTTTCATTTTTTTATCATTTTTTTATTTTTTTTCATTTTTCATCATTTTTGCTTCCAGTGGTGCAAAAATTTTCCGAAAAATAACAAATTGCAATTTTCCTCGAGTTTTTTTCATTTTTTGAACATTTTTTTATCATTTTTTTTATCATTTTTGCTTCCAGTGGTGGAATTGATGAAAAATGATGAAAAATGATGAAAAATGACAAAAAAATGAAAAAAAAATGAAAAAAAAACTCGAGGAAAATTGCAATTTTCCAAAAAATGAAAAATTGCAATTTTCCTCGTTTTTTCATGTTTTTTTCATTTTTTTCATTTTTTTTCATTTTTTTCATTTTTT